CCAGAAGCCGCCAGCGCTGAGGCCATTCCCAGTGGCTCGGCAGCTCGTTAGTGGAGCTCACACTCCAACGAGGTATTGACCATGAAGCTTGGTCAATACCGGGCCGGAGCCAGGCAGCGTGTGCCGGGGGGTGTTTGCTTCTCCCTGTTTCTCTTGCCACCTTGCAGGGTGTGATGTTTTTCTTTCCTTGCTCTCCGATGAGCAATTTTTAGGCTGGGCAGCTGCAAGGGGTTATTCTGCAATGCATTTTGAGAGAGACTGAAGTCTCCTTAAAGCAAGTAGGAAAGGTGCAGGCTGCAGAGCTGACCCCCATCCTAGAGCAGCAGCGGGTGTTACATCAGACTCTTCTAGAGTTAGATCCGTGTGTGATTTTTATACAGTTATAATTTGTCTCAGGGATTTGCCTGGAGTCTCCAGCCCTCTTCTGGTCAGTCCCATAAAGCACAGCAGGGTGAGATTGCAGAGATACAGAGATATCATTGACTGTTGCACTAAGATTTAACTCAAAAGTGTTGTTTTGAGTTAAAAAAATAGTTTAAATAGTTTATATTTATAAAACATAGTTTTTTCTCACCAGCACCAAGCCTGAAGAAGTATTCACACTGTCCAACCCTGGCACGGCACTGAGGTGGCTGGTCTCTGGATGCTGCCTGTAGACAGCAGTGTTGGAGAGAGATTCCCAAGCAGAGCAACCAGGAGCAGGGAGCTAATGCAGAGTTGTAGGTCTGGGGGAAAGGGAATTGGGCTGAGCTGGCAAAGTGATGTGCCAAAACCCTTCCCAGGATAACACGTTCCCGAGGCAGCGTGGCTGAAGCAGAGAGCTGACTCCCAATAGCACGGGGGAGCTTTAGGAATTCCCTGGAGGAACTGGAATGGCTGCAAAGCAGGTATAAATACTGCCAAGTGGCGGATAAGCAAGTCTGGAGAAGCCTCGCACAGAGGTGTGCGCTGGGGAAATCACAGCCCCTGATTTGGTCTGGTGGGGGAAGGCTCCAGGAGACCTGTCTGGATTTGGGGTAACCCCGACTCACCCTCCAGGAAAGAGCTGAGCCTGCCTGGAGCACATAGCTGGCAGGCAATGCCCAGGAGGCTCTGCTTGCACCCGGACTATTGTTTTATGGTATGTTTTTTTTCTGCAAAGCTATTGTCCTAAAACAAAGAGCATGGGGTTTTAGGAAAGCCAGTGAGTCGCTCTGGCTCCAGAGGTGGAGAAAAAGGCCTGAGTCCTTGGGCTGGAGGAGGGAGTCGTGGTGCTGTGCCCAGACAAGTAATGGCTTGTGGCTGGATGGGGATTTTCAAAGCAAGAAAAAACAAGGGACTTTGCAATGGCACCATTTGCAGCCTCACTGCTGTGCCCAGCCTGTCTGGTGGTTAGAGCCCACCACTAAAAATACATCATTTCTTAGCTTAATCTTAAATTGTTCCATAAGGCTGCAGGCCTGGAGGCCCCTGGACTAATCCCAGGAGGGTTAGCCAAGGGTGATTCCAAGATGAGCCCGGCTCTGGCTGCATCCCTGTGGCCACAGCCACCCTGCTATGGCCATTAGGTACGAAAGCAGCTTTGCACATGTGAGTCCACTGGCCACAGGTGGCTGTGGGCCAGGAGCACTGGGCTGGCTTGTTTGCATTGGTGTATTTAAGGAGTGTGGGTTGATTTGTGATCATAGGCCTCCAGTAGGTATATATTGCTGACATTCGGTGGCTGCTATATATATGTGTGTGAGTACATACATAGGTGACCGTTAATAGGAGACAGGGCTGTGCAATAATGTCTGAGGTGTGGGCACAGCCAGGTCTATATGCTGATGTTTCTGGCTGACAGGACAAGGTAGATAGGACCAGCGTGTGGAGAATACACCTGGGGCAATATCCAAAGACAGCATTCACTTCAGGGCTCGACTGAGTTAATTATGGGGTGGACGACTCTTTCCTACAAGAGCTCACAGTAAAACCTGAGCAGGTGTCAGAAACTGGAGCATCACGCTGCGGGTGAACTGCAAAGCCAGGCAGTGCAACAAGGAGAAAATCGATGTATGGTGTGTGGAGCTGAGCACTGTGTTCAGCTCCTGAAAGTCCAGGCTGTGTGTTTGGAGACCTCTAGAGACTAATGGGAATAATCACACGTCCAGAAATGCACCCAGTTTAGCGCACGGGAGCCTTGCATGAAAACTCCCACGGGAAGCGCAGTACCGAGTTCCTCACTGAACGTTTCTGCCACATCATGAGCAGCAGGAAAAAGACTTTGGGACAACCAACCAAGAGCAGGACATGACTAATAACAACTTAAGAAAAGGTGCAAACTCTGATGGTTGTATGACCAAATGGCTGACAAATGCATAAGCAGGTCTGCCAATAAGTGATTTGATAATCACCAAAGTGTCACACTAACGAAGATCCCCTGCAGTTAACCGAATCAGCAGGTTATCAGCTCCTTGCCTACACTAGCCTCCTTCCACCCCAGACTGTATCTGTCTCTTCTGTATCCCAGTGGCACATAATCATTGTGTTTGGTTTTTTTCCATCCATTACGAAAGAGAAAAGTTATGGCATGAAGAGCTAACCACCCAGTGCTGCCTCCAACATCTGAGATTTTAAACATATTTCCAGTCCCTTCCTCCTTGCTAAACAGACAGATGCTACATTGGCTTCTGAGCAGCAGCATAACAGGCAGAAGGCAAATAAAGGTACACCTATAAAACCAGTTGGTATTTGGGCACCATTTAGTGGTGAAACTCATGTGTTTGCATCTTTCCCCAGCAACCTTTCTTGCTCTTGCTGAAAAGCAAACAGGAAGCAAAGCCTTGAATTTTGGGAAGCGCTGAGCATCTCAGAAGTTGCTGTCCCCAGAACTGGAGCAATCTAAATTCCCCTCCTTCCTCGAGAGCTTTACCATCTCTCCAAACCTGCCTTCACTGGCTTTTTTTGCTCTCCCACAGGGAAGCCCTGTGGCTCCCAGTGCTGCTTGGCCTGATGCAGCTTTTCACAGCAGGGGAGCAAATTCAATGCCTGTTGCTGGTGGTGGCACCAGCAGAGGCTGCAGTAGGAGCTGGAATGAGACTCAGCGTGGCCGGGACATCACCCTGCCAGGACAGGCTGTGTACACAGATTTGTGGCAAGCACTTGGTTTTACTAGACAAAATAAAAGGCTACAGTAGCTTCTCTAGAGGTCATGACTGACACTGGTTTCTGCGCTGCGTGGGTGAGATGCAGACCCTGGGCACAGAAAGGAGCCGGTATTTGTCCCACCACAGCTTAATGGGCAAGGCCCTCTGCTACCCCACTGCACCCCGACCTGCCCTGCGGTGTCCAAGCCTTCCCCAGTCCACTGATTTCATTAGCATAATAATGATAAATTTGGCACAATTTTTTAGCTTGCAGATCACTCCTTTCCTAAGTGCAGGACTGCAACGCTGTCTGGTTTTGCCCACCGCCATGGTGGGTATCTCAAGAGCAGCCCCTTCTCCCTGCAGTCCCTTGCTTGGCTGGCAGGAGAAACAAGCAGGGAGGGATGATTTGGGGGGTGAAAACACAACTTTGGGTTCAGGCCATAAGTAGGGGAGACATGCAGCTGGGCAGATCAGAGAGGCCAATGTCCAGCATGCTATGGCAGCCCAAGGAAGGATGGGTGGGATGTCCCTGGCCCTGCCACCACCACCTCTGCACCTCTGCTGCTGGCTCACAGCTCTCTTGCACGTTCCGATGCTGCCATCTGTAGCACAGAGCTCCGCTCCGGTGATCCCCGGCACAGCTCCTGGAGAGCTGGGAGCTGGGCAAGGAGACCACGGCAGAGCTCAGTGTCACATGGTTTGGTTTTGTAGGAGTCCAAATGGGCAAATCCCAGCCTGGGACTTGGCTTTTTCAGTCCCGAGAGAGGCTGTTGGCTTCTACGTCCACTGGATTGCATTTTTAATCGTCTGCCAAGGGCACCAGAGCCTGGGATAGTAGCTCTCATTCTGCTTATCTGCTGGAAATAAAATAAACACATTAAATAACATCAGCACTGTGGCCCATACAGTGAGGAGGTTTTAACCGTGAAAGCCATGGATTCCTGTAGGACCAGCCGGGGAGTATCACAGCCTCCAGTGCATGCAGGGATGGGGCCAGCATATGTTTTAATGCATTTACCCTGTGAAGAGGCGGGGGCATGCACAGCCAGCCCTCCTTGCCCTGGCTCGGCTTCACCCAGGCATACGTTAGCACATGCTGACTGTCAGTATGAAAACCCTCATCACTGAAATTCATTTCATTGCTACCCATTTCTTGGTGCCTTTCCATGACAGGAAATATCAGACAAAGGCTCCCTTGCCCTGCTCCCAAATCCCTGTATTGTCCCCAGCAGGAGGGGAAACGCAGAGCCAGGGCGTGCTGAACTCAGCACAGCAGCATCCCCAGCCCCGCCGGCCCCAGGGCGCCGCGAGGTGGAAAAGCCGCTGTGTCAGAGCTGGCATCAGCTTGTTTCAGGCTGGGCTCTGACCCACAAAGAGTCATCACAAAGGAAAACAGGGGAAAAAAGAAATCTCCGTTGGTCTGAGCCCCTGTAAGAGCCATCATTTCTCTTCTGCCACCTCCCTTCTCTCTGGACCTTGCAGCGGATGGGACTCCCGGTATCTCCCCCAGCTTTGGAAGTCCCCATCCTTCCTTCATGCATTAAACACGTCTGCCCCCCGGATTACAGCCTGAATGCCTGTCCGCCCTGTCGCTGCTGCACACCGGCTCCATCACGTCACAGCTCAGGATTGCCTGGCCACCTCTGCCTTTGTGCGGGCAGCAGCGGGGCTGGATTAGCCCTGCATGCATGAGCGGGCTAACCCTGCTGAGGGGCAGCAGGATTTGCTGCTCCCCGCCTCCCAGCCGCGCCCGACAGCCTGCTCTGAAAAGGAGCCCTCAGCCCACTGTTGCTGCTAATCCCCGCGCACGTGGGCTGCTGGCTGGCGGCCCCTATATAGGGCCCTCTGACCGTGCACCCAGCCGGGTCTGTGGCGCAGGGGCAGGCGAGCGGGATGGCATTGCGGGTAAGCGCTGGGGACAGGGTCTGGCACAGCCTGGTGTGTCTGAGGGGTGACGGCGCGGGGTCAGGCGGTGGATAAAGGAAAGCAAGGGAAAAGATAAAGGAAAATAAGGGCAAGAAAGGCAGAGCAGATGCAGAAATCCTGAAAGACATGGGGGTGCTACTTGCAGTGCTGGTCCTCTATTTCAGTCCAGTCCAGGCTATTGCAAAGCTGTGAGCTTCATGGCTTTCAATAAAGGGCAATAGGACAGATTTTTCTTCTTGGTTATACCACAGGGCTGGTCTGGGGTAATGGTGCCCTGATGGCAGCACTTCTGGCTTGGAGGGTGTAAGCTGAGACCAAAATACAACTGATGTTTTAGCAGAGGAGACCTGTGTTTTGCCATCCATCTCCGCTGGGACAGCCGGCCGCAAAGAGGGAACTGCCGTTTCCTGTGCATGTGGTGTGTCTTTTGCTGGGTTTGTTGTAATGATGACAAGCTAAGGGTCAAGGCAAGGTGAACCTGGGTGCTGCCATCACCACTTGCTGTTTGAAACTGTATCATTAGCTCCATCAGCTCTCTGCATTTCCCAGGGCTGAACACTGGTGTGGTCAGAGCCTTTGAATGACCATGCACAGGTTCCTAAAGCCACCCTCCAAAAGTAGCCGGGCACGAGGGCATGAGGTTGGCCATCGTCATGTCTCAGCTCCTGCCCCAAAACGTGCATATCCCAAAAATGCATTGGAAATGGGAAATCATGGCAGAGAAGGAAACAGGGGAGTGAAAGTCCTGGCTGTAGGGAGGGAGAGGCAGGCATGCAGCTGGCGGTGGAGATGCCAAGGCTGGAGAGATTTTCCCAGTGTGAGCAATAAGTTTGGGAGAGGAAGATGCTCAGAAATGCAAGATCATTAGAGTGCTAAAAAAGTAGGGTGAAATGGCAAGCAGTTCTTATTAAAATGAGTTATAAAACTATGAATTATTCAAAAAGGAACATTTTCCAGCTCATTTTATGCAAGTTTAACCTTGGAGATGGGGGGAGCGGGTGGAACGGAGGATCAGGCAGGAGCTCGTGGGAAGAGTCACTCATGTAACGCTGGATGAGGACAGGCTGGATGCCACGTTACACCCATTCCTTGATCAGTCCTTATCTTTCACACCCTGCTTCAAAGCATCACAAAGTTTTCTGCTTGGATTTTTATATTGCCCAGGGAGGGAGAGGAGCAGAGTGTCTTTGTGTCCTGCCAACAATGAAGGCATTCAGGTTCTTCTTTAATTTTTGCTCCCTGATCCCTCCCAGCTCTTTACAAAAGACCTTGGGGGCAGCAAATCCCACCTTATCTACTGGATGTTGTAGCAACTTCATTTCTTATCAATTTAGAGCCCCTGAGATTATTTAGGAGTGAGAAAAAGGCAGGGGTAGACAGTGTGCCTGCATGGGAAGGGGGGAGAAAGGAGAAGACAATGAAAGGGTGAGAAAGATGGAGAAGTGTAAGGGATGAGCGGGGCTGTGCACTTCTCCCACCTTGCCATGCTTCACCGTCACCTCCTTGCTGGCAGTTCGAGGCCCTGTACAGAGGGGATATGTGTCCCGGCTGGAGCGTCGGGGGCAAGGGTGAGGCCAGTTCCCGTGCGAGCTTTTTTTTCAGTTCCAGTACGAGCATGTAAGGACACGCCCCACTCGCAGCTCTCCTGGCTCGTGAGAGCCGGCAGCACTGCTCCATGGCTCTCCATCACTTCTTTCTCTCGCCGTCTTAGGTTTGAAATTAATTTGCTCTGTGACCCTGGAGACCAAATTGCTCTCCATTTTAACCCCCGCTTCTCCAGCTCCAGAATCATCTGCAACTCCTTCCTCGCCAACCACTGGGGGAAGGAAGAGGTTAATAACACCTTCCCCTTCGAAGCAAAGGAGCCATTCCAGGTAACCCTGTGTCACCCCATGGGTCTCCTCGGGTGGGACAGGAGTGACACAGCCAATATTGAGGTCCTCCTCATGGATCTAGCTCTGCCTTTCCTGCCAGTGCCATACCCAGTAACATCCCCTCTCTGGCTCTGTCCCCTGTTAGTATTTCTGTTGTACCCTGATTTGCTGCTGATTTACACCCAGCTCTGGCACAGGCATGCAGAGGTCCAGCAAAAATCCCTGGATGCTGCATTTGTTTTCACTTTAGACTGTGCTCTATCACCAGTTTCTGCTATCATGAAGTGAAGAACTCAATTATTCCCTCCTTTTGCCCAAAATGGGGGTGAGCAGTGTGTGTGTCAGCTCTGGCAGGATTTGAAGTGGGTTGTAGATGCATGTGCCCAGATCTGGGCACTCACTAACATGATGGCAGCAAGGTCCAGTGAGGATGTGTGGCCACACGGTGAACCTAACACAGTCTCTCTTCCAGGTTGAAATCTACTCTGACCAGGACTATTTCCACATTTTCATCAACGAAAACAAAATCTTGCAGTTCAAGCATCGGCAGAAGCGGCTTTCATCCATCACCAAGCTGCAGATTATCAATGATATTGCCATTTCTTCAGTGGAAATCACCAAACGAGGCCTTTACTAGAGATCGGAGTTGGGACAGTCTCACCGACCATTCCCCCTTAAGCTCTTGATCCAGCTGGAGACCATCTCCTCCCCTTCTCCACCCAACACATGCCATCACCGGCCAGGGAGTTGGCTACACGAGTGTCCTCATAGTGGAAGGGATGGTCATTCCCATCGCATGCCACTAAGGCAGCACCCAGCCATGTCGCTAACAGTAGCCCAGATCGTCGAAGACCTTCTGCCCCTATGCCTTAGGGTACGCAATGGGATTTGTAGGTCTTATCACCTTTGCTGTTGGACAGCCTGACAGGTCAGGTCTGCCTCGAGTAGTCTGGACACCTGAATATTACCCTAGAAATTGTGTTTGTCCAAGAGCAGGGTGTGAATTAGCACTAATTCTCAGCTGGCCACGTGGTGAAGGATGCAATCGGTGTGGATGTTAGGGATGGAAAGGCTCCTTTCCAGCAGCTGGGTAAAAATGCTACCATATTTGCCAATAAAATCAAACAAGGAAAT